AAGCGCCGCCACGAGACCCGGCTGGTGGAGATCGACAACGGGCGGCAGCGGGAGTTTGAGAGCAAACTCTCGGAAGCTTTGCAGGAGCTGCGGAGCCAACACGAAGCCCAGATCAGGCTCTACAAGGAGGAACTGGAGAAGACCTACGGGGCGAAGGTGAGCAGCACCCGCGCGTCGTCGCCGTCCTCTTCCCGCCCTGCCCTGCGGGGTGCCGGTGGGCAGAGGGTGCTGGGGGTGCTCACCCACGCCGTCTTGTCCTCCAGCTGGAGAACGCCAAGCAGTCGGCTGAGAGGAACAGCAACATGGTGGGTGCTGCCCACGAGGAGCTGCAGCAAACCCGCATCCGCATCGACAACCTCTCCTCCGAAGTCAGCCAGCTGCAGAAGCAGGTGAGTCAAGACCAAGGGATTCCTCTGGATGTCCATCCTCGGGAATGGTCCCCTCCTGGGCATGGCCCCAGGCGGAGCAGCCGCTCTCACCTTCCCTCTCCACGCAGTTGGCCGCCAAGGAGGCAAAGCTGCACGATTTGGAGGATATCCTGGCCAGGGAACGCGAGACCAACCGGCGCCTGCTCTCCGACAAGGAGCGTGAGATGGCCGAGATGCGGGCACGCATGCAGCAGCAGCTGGATGAGTACCAGGAGCTGCTGGACATCAAGCTGGCTCTGGACATGGAGATCAACGCCTACCGCAAGCTGCTGGAGGGCGAGGAGGAGCGGTGAGCACGGGGCGCCACACCCAGTAGGCTCTGCTGGTCCCAGCCCTCGCGTCCTCACTGACTCCATCTCCCTTTCTCCTCCTGCCCAGGCTGAGGCTGTCCCCCAGCCCTTCCTCCCACAAAGGTGCATCCCGTAGCCACTTGTCCACCCCGGGTTCCTCCAAGAAGAGGAAGCTGGAGGACAGCGAGAGTCGGACCAGCTTCTCCCACCACGCCCGGACAAGCGGCCGCGTCGGCGTGGAGGAGGTGGACTTGGAGGGCAGATTCGTCCGTCTCAGGAACAAGTCCAACGAGGTGTGTTTGCCTTCAGGGAGGATCCCTGGGGGTGTAGCTCAGCCCCTCGTCACCCCACAGGCAGGAGGTAAATGGGGACAAGGTGGGGAGGAACTGGGGGGGGTCTCAGGGTTGCTGCTCTCTCTCTCTCGCAGGACCAGGCGATGGGGAACTGGCAGATCAAGCGGCAGAATGGAGACGATCCCCCCATCACCTACCGCTTCCCCCCAAAGTTCACCCTGAAGGCTGGCCAGGTGGTCACGGTGAGTCGCTGCCCGGCGAAGGATCCAGCCGAGATCCCAAACCCAGCTGGGCCGTTGGTGACGCGGAGCAGCCGGAGCCAGGGCGCAGGCTCCATGGCACGGGGCTTTTTGGGGGGGGACAGACCTGTGTCCCCGGGGTCTGGGCTCTGCAGACCTGAGACGTTGCTTTTCTCTGTGCTTTTCTCCCTAGATTTGGGCCTCGGGGGCTGGGGCGACCCATAGCCCCCCCAGCAACGTGGTGTGGAAAGCCCAGAGCAGCTGGGGCTCCGGGGACAGCCTGCGCACCGCCCTGATCAACTCCAACGGGGAGGTGAGAGCCCGGTGGCAGCACTGGGTCAGGGCACAGGGGGGGTCGGCAGACACCGAACCCCCCCCCCAACTCCTTTCCTGTCCCACGTAGGAGGTGGCCATGCGGAAACTGGTCCGTACCGTGATCATCAACGACGACGATGAGGATGAGGACGACGATGAACTTAACATCCACCACCGCCATCACCACGTGAGTACCGCGCTGGTCCCAGGGGGTCTGTCACAGGGATGCTAGGGGAGCTTGGGTCCGGTCCCAGTCAAGGCAGGAGGCAGCTCAGCATCACACAGGATCAGGCCCTATGGGAGAAGGCAGTTGGGAGGGCGCTGTGGGAACAACCGCACGGGAGAAGCCAACAGACCTCTGGCACCTGGAGAAGATTGCTGCTTGCCAGAAGAGCTCTGGAGACCTTGCTGGAAGTCACGTCCAACCCTGAGCAACCTTGACCTGCCACGAAAAGGGCTGGAGGAGCCCGGAGGGAGGCTGAGCTGGTACCTC